GTCTAGGGCAAACTGTGCAGCATCACTATAGCTCAGAATCGAAACGATAATGCATAGAAGAATGTTTCCTAAAAATCAATACAAAGACACTCACACCTTGTCAGAAGTTGTCCAATTTGACCAGGATTCGTTTAATTAGATAATAACATTATGTTTGGCTTGTAACTTTCATAACAACAATAAACCCAGTCAAGTCACGCCCCTACATCCAAAAAACTCCAAACGAGTGCTTAGAGGAAGGCTTAGCGTTATGACACTTGAGGACACATCTATTGCTCTGTTTCCATTATTCCCTTTCACATGCATAAGCTTTTGCCTCGGGGCAGTGGTCCCAGGCAGGATCTCGCTCTCATTAACCTATTGGCTGGATAAATCAAAGAGCAGGGCAGCGCAGCGGACCCTCAGTACTCCTCCAGCCAGATAAGGAGAACACCACACCAGTTCGGAGCCCAAAGCCCAGTGATATATGGATCTGAAGGGGCTAATAGCAAAGTATTGACAGGGAAATGGTGTGCTTATCCTGCTACTGCATGCTGAGGAGAGGTCCCCAAAGCAGATGGGAGACACTTTGGGGAGAGGGGAGGGGAGGAGGATGTGAGGATGAAGTAGAAGTGTGTAGGGACAAATTAGGAGTCTTTATTGCTTTATTTTGGCCAATTAATTCTGGGACTAAGCAACAAACAGGCCTTCAAGTGCCCCAAACAAAGAAGGGTGTATTTTTAAACTAAATCTTGGCTTATCTACATGAGACAAGTTTTTCATTTCACAACTAAGACTCTGTGAGATTTTGAAAGATTATGATCCACAAATGTTGAATATGAATCTCAGTATGAATCTAAATTATTGTCAGTTGTGATGTCGCAAGTGAAAGCAGAATTACTGTATATTATTATGAAGAGGGAATTTATATCAAATCTATCTCACTGAGTGGCAAAAATGTCATTAGCATTGATTTAGTTACAATATACAGGTGAAACTTAAGAATTGTATTTTATTGAATTTATTTTTGTAATTGAACTTCAAATGTGAAACAAATATGTCATATAGTCACTTTACACGCACAGTAACATATACTGAACTTTTGTTTTTTTATATTGTATATGGTTTTGTCTTACAGTTTATTTTCAAAATATACAATTTTCTGGGCTGTTTTTTTCGAGGTTTTTACAAGCTGTGAACCAACTACAACCAATATAACAAATAAAGTCTTGGTATATCTCACTTTGCGTGTAAATCTTTTGACATACTTAGTCTCTATGAGCTTTTATCCTGTTTTTATCTTTACTACTTTGTATGTTTTGCCAGCAAAGTTCTGTTCTCTTTTCTACCTGTAATAACTTTTTCAATGCATTTGTTTTTACAGTACATTGTAATTTGTATTCATATCTAAATCACTGTTGAGTCCATCCCTGTACTCTTGCACAACGTAGTATTCTTTTTTCAACGTGAAATCCTTGTAACATGTAAACAGGTCCCACAGATCCAGCTCCTGACATTGGCCATGAAGACGCAGACTGAGCCGGTGGCCCCTTTAACGCTGGAGTCATAGGTTATCGCTGTGTGGCTTGCACCTTGCTCTAAGTGCCAGGATTTATCAAAGCCGTCGCTGGTGCTCTGATGAGGCCTAATGGTAACACTTCATCAAGCTCAGTGCAGATGTGCAGAGTAACCGCCACTGCTGCAGCTGATAAAGACGTTACTACTCCTGCTGCTGTGCTACCAATCTGCACTGCTCCCTGCTAATCACACAATAAAACAGAAATAGATTGAAATAGATTAAACAATAACTGATTCGCATAAATACTGGAAAATTAGTGCTTTCATTAATTAGTAATTTAACTGTGAAATGCGACTGCAACTCTCTGTGTTACTGTTTTCCAAACCGGTCCAGAAAATGTTCATTAACCCGTACTATAAGTGCCTCATGGGGGATACACGTCTCTGCCCATACTTTGTAGAAAACTTAAATATTCAAACAAAATAGTACACCCCAGGCATTACTCTGTGAACACCTCAATTATTTTTTATTAAACTATAAAATCAGACCAGAATAGTGGAAACACATTCAAGGCTGTAGCAGCTGAAAAGCTCCATAGCTAATAGATCTATACAAGCTCATTCTTATAATGAGGTTGAGCTTCTGATGAACACAACCGGACTGCAGCACTGGGAGCATAAGCATAATATTGTCGTATATCTTTCAGTGTCACTGCCTCCAGTCCAGCTCATATACAGATATGTTTACATCTGGATGCCAAGCACTGCACTGGGGCCTGTCTGCGTCCATGATTACCCACTTGACATCTTTATAGCTGTGTGGCAGACATGCTCTCCAAGTAACCAAACTGAGGAGAGGCTGCAGAATGCCAACGTGGCCCAGGAAAAACTCTCTGCTCTGGGACATGTGAGTTTTGTGTTGAAATAATTAGCCTGCTTAGCTGCCATCTGGGCTGTGCGTGCTGGCGCGTGGCTGTAGCAGGTGCTTCATGTGTAAAACCACAGAGAGACATTCAGCAGATGCTCATGAGTGGAGTGTCACGACCAGACTGGCACAGACCTGAGTCAGATGAGAGCTGCGTGAAGAGGGAATGGAGAGTATGTTTAAGCTTGAAAAGGCGTAACAATGACATGATAAAATAAAGAAAACTCCTTCGATATCAATGAAGAAATGTAGAAACAGCATCACTACAAGAAAAAAGTTGTAATTAACCTTATTTCAATGGATAAATGCGATATAATGCAACCGCTTTGAGCCCGTTTCCACAAGCCCTACTTGGTCCTACTCTACCTATATATCTACATAGGATGTATCCACCGTCCCTGTTAAACTGGTACCAGGTACTTTTTAGTCACCACTTGGCCCTGGTTCTAACCTGGGCGAGCTGGTACTAAAGAATTCTAACTGACAGTGATTGATCAACGTGCTGCTGGAAGCCAGGGTTACCAAGGTATGTCCCTGGATACTGGTTTGTTGCTGGTAGGTTGCTAGGGTATGGTACCAGATACTAAAATGGATATGCAACCATGTAGAGTAGAGTAGAGTAGAGGATTGAGCTGGTGGAAATGGGGCTATAGAATACGTAATATTTTGATCCAAATACTGTAGTTAATCAGTCATAGATTAATACTGTTTTTTTCATTCATTGATGATATACAATTTACTGTTTTGGGTCCTCTGTGGATATAGGCTGGGATGGAGAATTATAAAAGCTAACTATAAAGGCAATACTGTAAAGAAAATAAAGCTAAAACCAATATCAACCGAAACACATTCCATTCCTGCCCCATCCTCAAATCCACAATAACTCCATTCCATCTGACCTTACCTTATCAGTGAGAAGCAGCTCCTTCTTAATGACTACACTTCCACACAAACCCCAAATCTAAGACAGTTTAAACATTTTTGAGCCGGTCACCAGACCAGCCAGTAACTTGATAAGGCCGTGGATTTACTCGATGGGGTAGAAAGTTCCTGAGCAAGCAGGCGGCGGTTGTTGTTCCCAGAGGGCTGAGAAACCGTATCTGCCCTGGAGAAAGCATCCTCTTTGGTAAGCACTTCTTATCCAGGCCATCACTGCAGGCCGATAGCAGGGAGCAGGGTAATATCCAGTAACTGCAGCTTTATGTGTGATCCAATATGTGGATCAATCGCTGGGACAAGAGCCTCACCATTAACCCCACAGATGTCTCTCTCTCTCTCTCTCTCTCTCCCAAATGGCTGCCTCTTTGTTTTGATAAAGCGAGTGAAATCATTTGACAGTAATCAGCTATTTCCACTGTATGTATTTGTATTGGGAAGAGGCAGTTCTTGTGGTTTATTTCAGTGTCAGAAGGATGTTGCTAGAAAGATGCTAAGAGGAGAGAGAGAGAGCTAAAGCAGGAAAGACTCAGTGGTGTTGTTTGAAAGTCCCAATACTTCTGGGAGCATTGCCCCATATATTGTCCCATGTGGCTGAGCTCAAGAAACACTGTCTGAAGCTGGCATACAGTATGAAGCGCAGCAGAGCATTTCAATATCTCTGGATACAAACAGACACCAAAATTAGTCAAATCTGCTTTGCTCCTGTGACAAGTGGGGTTAGGAATTATTATTATGTTAAATATACATTTCGGGGAGAGGAGACATCCAAACCGCGACTTCTAGATATGCAAATGTAACTGTTGTTTTGAATCTAATAAAAGAAATATATTTTTGCTGTTTTTGCACAATGAAATATATGCTTTCTGTGACTGTTATTTTGTTAGTCGAGATGTGTGATTAATTTAGCTAATTAAAAAGATTATTTGAATAAAAAGTGTTTTTGAAAGCCATTGGTTATTGTCAGTTTATTAAAGGGTTCTGAACATAAAGGTTAGCTGATTGAATAATAAATGCCTAGATAATAAGTTCAAATATATTATATCAACTTGGAAATAAAGAAAGAAAAGGAAACAATGTAAGAACATATTTATATAACATAATTACTACTGCTAATATAGATTTCATAATAATTTGCGCTCTAAAGTTCTATTTCAGTAGGAGGGTAGGTGCCAATAAAACTCTGTGAAGATATATTTTCTTTTTTCTTATTCCAAAAAATATATGTTTTTTTTCAGATCATTATTTGATAGTGATTAGATTCACAGAAATGTCATATCATTGTTATGTGTGAATGTCCTTTAAAACTGGCCAAAATCACGCATATTGTTTTTAATATTGTCAACACTTCTAAGTACCTCTCTAAGATATGAATTAGACCAGTGGTAATATGTTCTGAAAAAAAAATGCAAGACTAGAAATCTGACTTTTGACAGTTACCATAGCTACCAGGAAAGATTTATCATCTGCTCTCCACTCCACCACAATTTTAAACTAAAAGGTCTTTGTAATGTTGTAATATCACATGAAAGCAACCCATCAACAGTATTATTGTCAATTCATAATAAACACCGCTCTAGAAGTTTTTCAAACTTTTTGTCTGATTAACAAAATCAACACCACAAATTTAGGTCAAACTTACCCCATGCCTTTCTTCTCGATGAGGTCAAGACCCCGGTAGGAAAACGGGGAGGTCCTCTTTCCCTCCAAACGGTAGCGGGCCGAGCGGGTGGAGGCTGGAGCATCAAGCGGCCACAACGTGACATGACAACCCCGAGCTTGTGATGTCCAGGCGTGCTCCACCCAACGGTCCTCCAGCGGCAGAGACCAGGGGACAGGCATGCAGGGAGAGGCTCTGTGCTGGACTGGGCTCTGCTTGGAGGCTTTTTCGCCCCTCTCCTTCCCTGAATGAAAGCAATCCCTGGGAGTGAATGGGTAATGAGAGACCGGCTCCTGAGATTTTAGCTTTCTTAATCATGTTCATAATTAATTCAAGAACATTGATAATTTCATTACATTCTTTTTGTCTTATCAATAAATGATGTGGCTGCACTTTTGGTCTTGTGTATACGGGGAGAGGGAGGACAGGGAGAAGAGAGAAAGGACACCGCCGAGTAATACTGCACTAAAAGCACACGAGATGGAAAATGATACAAACAGGCGAGTGGTAATTATAAGCTTTGACCAAGCCACTGGCAGCACAATATGAAGTCAAGTGGCTACAAATAATTAATAAGGCCCCATGGTGGGTGGGTGTATGGCGACCGAGTGGGAGTGGGCTATAGTGCTGACGAATGTTCTTTGCTACTACATTATTTTACCTTATGAGCATCTATAGGTGGCATCTTTAGTAGATACAGACGAGGGGAGGGTTGTGGGGAGTATGAGTAATTGGTCAAAATTCCCAAATTCCATAGTTAAGGATGTAAAATAATGTAATGTAAAAGTATAGGCAAAAAGGTAAACATTATAAAAACTTTTATTGACTCATTATCAAGCAATACTAAAATATGTTATGCCAATATCAACAATAAATGTAATTTTTTTAATCATTTAGGAAAAACGGAGACTTGGAACTAGAGTTGTGAGTTTTTGTCATGTGAATTAGCCTGACAATTACAGAGAAATGATCTGTAAACTTAGACTACAAATCTGAATTTGACAGTTAATAATGTAACATGTATAGGCAAAAACAATGGCAACAATCATTATTAATTTTTTGTCTAATAATTTATGAACAGTCATGTCTGTATACATATAATCTCACATAATTCCAGTTCTCAGTCAGGAATCACTTACAATATACTTGTGTATTTACCCAGTATGGCCTCATAGACAGACGCAGACATCCACTGTAAATCCTCTCTACTGAAGGGTCTGCTGGGTGTCCTTCACTTCCAATAAAGAGCTCAGGTTTCAGGGCATCAGTGTCGTTATTAGAAAGAAGATCACAGCCTCCCTCCTTTGTCCGGTCAAGAACGAAAAAGAAAAAAAAAAACCTTGCGTTACTTCATGGCTTGTGGCGTATAGTTTCTTCTGCAGCAGGAGGAGTGATGACACAATATTCATTTTTAATAGTTCATCGTCATAATGTTCGATAACCCTTCACCTCTGAAATCGCTGTTATAGATTGTGCTTTATCAATCGGACGGTCGTGTTCAAAACAGAGCTGGAAATAGAACAAGGAGCAGGGATGTAATTTATCTCAGTTTCCTAAAAATACGGAGGATGATTCGTCTCGTCAGTGGAGCACTTATTCACTTTCCTCCAAACAAGATGAATGTAAGGCATATGCAGAATCAAACGGTGAAGGATTGACCGTCCAGTTTTAGATCTGATGTCATCACTGCTGTATCCTGCAAACTTGTGTTTATAATTACAATTCAATTCAATTCAGTTTATTTTTGTATATCTCTCAATCACAGCAGCAGTCATCTTGAAGGACTTCACAACAGAGCAGCGAATCAAACAGTTGGAACACAGGAAATGCAATAATAAACACATAGGAGCCATTGGTCCATAGGGAGAAGGATCACAAAAGTCCATAAATGTTAATATAATTCCAATATTATATTTTGCTTTTTAATTCAATTGTTATTGCTTTTTCATAATAGTTATTACTTCAATATGTATTTTTTGTTTCTGAATGTGGCACTTTAGTAGTATATTTACAGCTTAATGCTAGTCCCAACATTCTGAAACACTGATCCATTTATCATGTTCATTTCAATAATGAAATCAATTTTGGGCCTGTTTTTTGGCTTCACTTCTTACAGCCACATAATAGCAGGCCATTTGATTTCTGACAGGAGCTAATGGATTCCTAGTGTGACACATGTAACACAGATTGGTCAAGTTCTATGACCCATTAGAGATTCAAACACTTTATGTCCTATTTATTTCTTATTTGCCACAGGCTTTAGAACTGAGATATGACTGGGCAATACAAGACACCTTTAATAAAATTCAAAAATAAAGAGGTGAAAATAGAGATTTACTACCAGCTATTTTGACAGTGACTTGATATAAGGTGTTCATAACAAGTTTTGCATTATATTCCCACTCCCCCTCACTCACATTTGAACCATATTTTATGTGATCTATGTATGCGGCGCTCATCCCGTCGCTGTCACCCCTCTTCAGCAGTGTCCCTCTTAAACAGATTGCTACAATACTTGTAATGATGGGCCTTCCCAGCTGCGCAGCACCAGAATGGAAGGAGCTATACTATTACCATAATGCCTGGCCCTGTTCCGGTCCCATGGGTCGCTGCGTGGGGATGTGGGTAGCTCAGTGGAGGGGCCTAGGCTGTGACAGGCTCAACCTGCCCTGGGCCATGTAATAAAAGCTGTGGTAGAGATGGTGGCACTGCTGCTGGAGCTGCAGAGGATAAATATAAACTAGGCCCACATCAAGGAAGCGGCCCTGCAGTCACAGCCTGACTTATACATCCTCATAATTAGACCCCCATCCAATAAAACCCAGAATTGTAGCTATGCATCTATTTTACTTGTGTTTACAGCAGCATGATGCATCACTAGAAATGTGATGATGTTTGGGAAAATTATACCAATTGGGCAATATTAAAGAAAAAAAACCTATTAGTATGGTTAGAGAATAGAAGCAAGTATAGAATTGTTATAAAGATCAACTTAGTAAATGCTGGTTAAAATAATGTTGTGAAATCATAATATAAGAATTTTCCATGTGTTTTTGTGACAGTTATGTGATCTGTATAGCCCTAGCGTGTGAAAGTGCTCCTCCTCTCACAGGGGCCGGGCAGTGACAGTCCAGCAGGGGGGATCAAGCTAATTAAAGAAAGCATTTGTCACAGATTAAGCCTTACACAGAAAAGGTCATCTGGGCACCAGTGTGCACTGTGGCGCTGCTGTGCTCTTAGGGCAGTCTAAACCTTTCTCTGCTAAATGCTAAAGATGCTATTTAGCAGTGATGGGGGAAGAGACCCTCCAGCCTCACCAGCCAGAGATTGACACTCGGGTCATTGGTTCTTCACTGTCCATTACACAAGCTGGTCAAAGCTGGTGATCGGTGTCATTTAGAGATGAAAAATAAGCGCTGGGACAAGATCAATAGCAGCAGCCGTCTGTTACCAGCAGTGAGTAATTGACTGTCACCAATTACAGCACAGCCTGTTGCAAAGCAATGTAAACTATGCTTTGAAAATAAGAGCTTCGCCAATGAAAGTTCTGGCACAATTTGTATTATTAAATTTGGAGCAGTTTGCCGGGTTTTAAATCAATGCCAGTTAATGCATACACTTAAGCTGGCGCAATCTACTCTAAAAGTATATAAACAAGCTTTTGACTTTAAAGGGGTCATCTTTATATTTTTCATTTTATTTAGCCTGTGGTTCACACCATAAAAAAGCTGCTTAATATAGATGTTTTAACCAGGGTGAGTGGACAAGCCTTTTTGTAGTCAGTCAATTGTAATTGTATTAGATCAGGGGAAAGATTGTTCTGGTTAGAGATACGATGAAGAGCAGGACATGTTGGTTTAGATATGAGTAATGGGTCTGCAGAGTTTAACTGTGCTGGTGATGCCATTTTAAATATCTTGACTCAAATTTATGATAATGGTAGACCACCATGAGACATTACTTATAAATTAGTCTGTATACCTGATATGAATGCTATTAATCATTTCATAATAGGCAGGTCGAAACGTTCAATTTCAAGAATTACCCCATTATTTTGAAAATGTCAGTTCTTAAGTATTTTAGCTACGTCTAATCATGTGAAGGCATTTCTTATTTTTTCAAGGGAAACCAGGGTAATGTATTGGATAAAAAATATATCAGACTGTAAATATCTATGTAAATGTGTTTGGTGAAGTCATTAGAGAATATTATATGGGCTCTTTTTAAAGTGTACAGGACAGACTATGGAACTACATGTCACCAAACATAGCATCTTTATACAGTAGTAAGGATTTTGTGTCACACATTTGCTCTCATAAGTTTAGTTTATAATTCATCTTCCTTGCTTTAGACCGGTATAGTCAGTGGGGGCGGGTCCCGGCTCAAAAGTGGCCAAAATGATGTGCGCTGACATGCTTGCAATACCACCCCGGGCCGATGGGGGTGGACCCAGAAGTAGAATTAGCCAATGCTAACATATAGCGTTAGCAGACCTCTTGAAAACGTCTTTACAGGATGGACCAAAAGTTGGCTCTTGGCCCAAAGCTCGGTTCCACATGTGTGTCAATGCTGAGGGGGGTGGATTTTTTTGGTCCACTCTAGTTTACTTGCTGTGAATTTTTGAAGTCTCTCGTTCAAATGAATGGAGTTGCGCCAGCTGACGCATGCGCAGATGCGTTTTTTCACAATTTTCTTGTGGGCGGGACCACTCGCGGCCATTTTGGATTGCTCCAGTAGAGCACATTTTTTGGCCCATTAGTTAGAGCGGCGGAGATAGGCGTGACTCTGTCCGTTAATATATACAGTCTACGGGTATAGTTAATACATTTATAATCTCAATATCTGTAAGCTACATCTCACCAGCTTTTTGATTCCCATTAGACAGAGCTGATGACAAATGTTTACCATCTCACCAGCTACATTAGTGCCATATTCAGAATTATGTGACAAAATTAAAAAAATCTGCCTCTACAAATAAAGTCAACAACTGGATTCCAGGGGTTCTGAGCCTTAACTAGTATAGCATGGATACATTGGTTACGCTGGAGTTGGCTGGATGATACTCTAAACTTATTTTTATGTTCCCAATGGCTTTGTGTCAGTAAGGCAGAGGGTCACATAACGTGACACACAGGGCCACAATTGACCCGCGGGCCTTAGTTTGGACGCATTTTCCAACTTTTCATCATTAACTTCAATCTTGACATAATTCAAGTCTAAAATAAACAGGCTATTGATGGCCACGGATGTATTATATTATCATAGGCCTAAAACAAATGAAAAAAAACCAAAACCTTGTGACCAAGGTCTCTTGTTTCTACCATGGCATAACGCATAACGTGAGTAACCTGAAAAGTTCTTCTGGAAAAAACACGATAAAAAATATAAACATGGTTGACCTCAACAACAGATGGCACGTTTTTCTCAATGATATATTATTTGTTTTCTCCATAGACTGGTCTCTCCCGTGGATGTTGGCTTTCTCCGGAGCTTTCAAACGGTGTGCGCACGTGCCTATTTTGTCCCTCTCGGTTCGCCGTAGTCTCTTCAGGCTGCGGCGCCATGTGTGTTTTGGTGGGAAATTCGTAACTTCTTCTGTTGAGGAAGTTCGCTTCTTTGCGCTGTCTTATCCCTCACATCATGGCTCTGAACTACCAAGCATCAACACTGTCGCTGACTTTACCCATTTCTTGCCAAATATGTCTGGGGAAGGTGAGTTTACGTGCATATTTGACGTTTTACGGTAGTTGTCCAATGAAATGGATTGTTTACAAAATGCTTGGCAACCGTAACGACCCAATGTTGTTTCTAACGTTATAGCTATATAGTTAGATTAGTGTTTGTAGTACTTTTGAGCCATTATCCTCTACCAATGTATATTCTTATTCTCGTACGCGTTTAAATAGGTCCGACAGCCGGTGATATGTGCCAACAACCACGTGTTCTGCTCGACTTGTATGGAAATGTGGCTGAAGAAATCGAGCCAGTGTCCCACCTGCAGAGTGCCCATCACAGCCGAAAACCCATGCAGAGAAATCATTGGTGAGTTCGGGTCTGTATTCATAAACCGGGGGTAATCTGAGCAGGCTATAGCTGCATGTAAAGCCACTGTATACAGGCGTCATACAAGTTTCGCTAGAGAAATGTATTATCCTGGCTTCTTATGGTAGTGACCATGGTGCGTTAGTTAACGTTAGTATATTCAGCACTATGTATGGTTGCTGTTCTTCTGTAAGTTTATTTTGATGGCAGTTTGATCTGCTTCATTTGCCTTATTGTCTGTAGCACAAAAGCACACGTGACCAGCGAAACTGTCGACTACACTAAGCTTTTTGTGTAGTACAAAGTAGAGCTGTAAGATTAATGACTATTAAAATGGCAGTCTTCGTGACTGCAATTGTCAAATTGCAATTATTTATCGAAAGGCTATGCCTAAAATATACTTTTCTCAATCTCTTTTGTGCATCAAAATAGAGGAGTATTTGTTCGTTCTCCTAAACTCAATCTTTTGGCCAGGGACAGATCCCATGCGTCTTCTGCCTTTCACTGTTTTTAAAAAAAATCTTAAATCATATAAAAAGAAAGAAATAAAGACCTAAAGCTATTAAATATGACATTCCCTATAGTCCTCAGTCCAATATTCATAGGACATTATTTCCTTTACAAATATAGATTATCGTTGCATATAAAAGCTTTAAAAATGCATGACAATACGGTCAGCTTATGAGAGTTTGTAGAAGATGTTTCTCTGATCCTCTTATGTTTTTTGACCAGTAGATATATTTTTTAGTGCTGGTTTTGGAGGCAAACTGGTTAGAGCTCCGAGAACTTCAGTCTTGACTGTCTTCTGGCAGCTTCTGGCATGGGTTTGGAAAAGTATTTTTTACCAAAAAGTTGACATTGTGGACCTTTTTAAATGTTGAAGATAATCATATCAAATCAAGCTAAATACCAGCACAAAATCATGCAATTTATTGTCATTTTTCTCATGTTTCTGTTTCCATTCAAATATGAATCCTCAAAGTGTATCATGAGCATTATCCTACAGTTAAAACAAAAAATGCAAATCATAATCCTAATGGTCTGAATCTGAAAAAACGTATTTTTTGGTGTTTTAAAAAAATTGTGCAGCCAGAGAACAAAGTGACCCAAATGTCTTGTAAGGAAATACATTGTTATTTGAAGTCTCTCAAATAAAGCAAGCAATTAATTCTTTTTTCAGGGGGCACTAATGAGAGCGATCACAAAGAATGCTCTTCTACAAGGAAATGCTTGCGAAAAACGAGAATGGAGCTGCTTTTTAAAGAGTATGAGGTACAACACAACAAATCTGACATAACTTCTATCCATGACATAGTGCACATTAAAGAGAGCCCATGAAGAATGGTCTTATTTGAGTCCTGTAGTACTTAAATCATTTTGTGTCATTTTTCAATTTAACAAATGGAATTATTCAGGATGAAATTGAAAGTCTGGTTCGAGAAAATGAGGAGCTGAAAAACAAACACGAACATCTGGAGTCCCAACTGAGGACGGCTCTAGATCCCAGCTCCATCAGCACAGTGGTGGCTGATGATAAAAGAGTGGATTCCTTCATTCTCGACGAACTGACTAAAAAGCTGTGTGCTGCCACTGATGTCTTGGAGAAAGTAAAGCAAGACATGGACAAGCTTAAGGAGGTATACTTTCTAGAAAGAGCCCTATGAGTACATTGCACTGTTGCACTGACCCTGCTCCCATCTCTGTGTGGAGTGAGTGGACTAATGCCCAAAAAATAACAATTGTAAACCGCTTTGTGACTCTGGTCTGTGAAAGGCGGTATATAAATAAAGATTACTTACTTACTGTTATACATATTATACATTTGCAGCAGTTTGTGAAATGTGTCTTATTTTGTTACAGGCAAACAAAGGTTTAAGATCTCAAAACATTGATCTTGTCCAAGAAAACATGAGGTTAAAAGCTGAAGTTGCAAGCCGGTCTCCACAAAAGTAAGTCCTGATTTATCCAGAAAATATCCACTACTAATGAGGAATTGCGGTTTTCATAAAGTCAGAAACAGTACTGCAGTCAAAAATCCATTTTCTATCAAAGTTAGGTTTTTTTTCATAAATAACACTGGTAGTTTGTCCCAATAAGTCTTGTAAAAGGGAAATGCTGTGTACAAGTCAGACCACAACATGCTGCCTTCGTCTTATTAGAAACCGTGTTACCTTTTTACATTCTTGTAAGAAAGAGCCCTATGAGTCTGACTGCGTGAGGGTGGTAACTCTTGTTCACTTTTCTGTCTGAAAAAGCTGATCTGAAGATGTGCCAAAAACCTTAACATTTGAAAACTAGTAATCGAGATCCTTAATTGGTCCCACCGTGGGGAAATTTCAGTGTTACATCACAAATTACAAAACGGTTGGAATGAGGAACACACAACACAAGATAAGTAAATATTAAGTGTAGCTAGAACGTATAAATAAATAATCTCCTTTATCATTTCTTTATTAAACGGTAGATTTATCCATTTAATTACAACTTATCAAGATTTGGCACTAATTTACAATTACTTTAGTTAGTAGTTGTTTGTTAGACAGACGGATGTTAACAGACTCCAAACATCAAGAGAGATGTGATTTTAAGGCTTAAACAGTGAAACAACTACATGAGAAAAATATTCTGAAATTATGTAAACATTTCATTTTTACAGATAAAAAAATATTGTATCACATCAAATACTAGAACAAATCAATTAATTGAAGGAATAATCTAGATCGATTTGATCACAATGATTGTTAACAACAGCCCTATTGCATAGCTCAATATTTTTGTTGCCCAGCTTTACATTCAATGTTGTCATTTTTGTGATTTCGAGTACTATTTGTAATGTGCTGCAGGTTTGGGCGGTTCACGGTGGCAGCACTCGAGGCCAAAGTTCAGCAGTACGAGCGCAACATCGACCAGCTGAGGCGGGCCCTGGAGCGCAGCGACCAGTACGTCGAGGAGCTGGAGTCCCGCATCGAAAACTCCGACAGGAAAGGAGCCAATTTTCTGGAAACAGTCAGACAGCGCAACAAGAGCACGCCCGAGGACTTTACCCAGCAACAGAAAATCAACATGATGATGAGGAGTTTGAGCGACAACGAGCGCCTGTCAATCTGCAGCAACCCAGAGGTAGACGGCGAGAAATGTTCACAGAGTCACAGCTTGATGTTCCTGCCGTCGGGAAACCACGCCGAGCTGACGAAGCCACTGACCGGAAAGCAGAAATGCGAGGACTTGAACGGTGCCGACTTGATGCCCACCACCCCGTCTTCTGCCTTTCGGTCGCTGACGCTGAAAAGCCCTGGGATCCGAGAGAAAAAGGTTGCGTTCAAACCCAGTTCTTATCTTCGGAAGCTTGATTTTGAGGGCTTCCCCAGTCCAAGTAAAAGCAGTACATTTGAAAGTCAGTTCATGTGTGTCAATAAGTTGAATCCAAACAGTGTGGCGGAGACGAGGCCGATGTTCTGGGACATCTGGAGTAAGCCCAAACCTCTGGAAGAATCTCATCCAGGCCCAAGTAAGCAGAGTCCTCTCAAAGGGGCAGCATCGCACGCTCCAGCTGACAAATCGCAGACTACAAGCGAGGCGTCCATGGATGCAGCTTACCTGGATAAAATCTCCGAGCTGGACACCATGCTGGACGGAGAAAGCCTGAGCAGCCGCAGTTCACAGCTCTCCCAGATGTCCTCTCCTACAACAGATTTAGAATCCACGTTAGTCTCAGACACACAGACAACCTCAGCGTTCTTACCAGTGCAGCGCAGAAACGACGTACCAGAGAGTGACCAGCGAGATCAGCAACAATGCGAAGCTAGAGACTTAAACTCGCCCGTAAACGAGAATCTACCCATGGCAAATCGGGAAAGTGGCGTTGGTGTTCAGGAAGGGCCCTCCCAGACTGACGAACTGTCCTTTGAGCTCTTGTTTGACCCCCTGGATGAAAACGACAACGGCGGTGGCGCATCTCAACAGGAGCAAAACAAAGCCCGATCGTCGTCCTTCTGCTGCGAAAAACCTGAAAACCCAAGAGCCGGAAGCTCAATGAATATGACACAAGCCACAAAGAGGAAGTCCTACAGCCCCTTCAGCAATAGCAGCCCCACCAAACTGTCCAAGCTCATGTGAAGGGATTCATTTATTTGTTGTTGCATTGCCCTAAATCTCAACAGCAGTGGTCTGACTGGACTTTACAAAGTTGCCGATTTCACCTACGACAGAGTGGGGTTCAGCTACTGGTGTTTATTTACAGTACAGTGGATATGAATTGATGCTATGTAATTACTAGTTTCTAGCTGTCATTGTTGTGATCTGTAGAACTGTTAGACTACTGCTTAGTGGAAAAACAATAAAAGTTGTGAAAAAAATAATAAAAAATTATATAAAAAAAGGTTAGAACATGGAGTAAATAAAAAGCACTCAAACAATGTTGCTTTGGTATTACGTGTAGTGATTATAACTGTTGTACTGTTATTTATTGCTTAATTAGTCTTGCATACAAATATTACTAATTCACCTTTCAGCTTTGCTTAATAGGGCTTAATAACACGTTCACATCGTGGCACACATTAGGGACGGTCCTCACATGCCCTGTAAATGCTGCAACACAAAGGGGCTTATGTAAATTCAACACTATTGTGCATGTTTCACATATCTCTTCGCACTGCATGACATTTTAATTGAGCAGCCTTTGTGGTTTGAATAAATGAAGTGTTAATTCATTGGGATTAATTAATTTGGGCAAAGACTACGGGGATGCTGATGTATTAAATCAATTTGTTTAGTGCTGATCTGAAGTGTCTTAAATGATAGCCACTGTCTTTGTGACAACAGTGATGACAGTTCACACAATATTTTACAAATATTTTATAAGTCAATGTATTTATTTGGAAGATATTTTCTGTTTTTAAAATGTGTGAAAAATAATGATAGTAATTTGTCCAGCTACAACCTTCAGCATGTCAGTACATTTGAAAGAATTGGTTCAAGAAGAGCAAAAATTTATTTGTGTGGCTTACAATCGCATGGTAAATTTTAAGCTTTCAGATATTTATCTAGAGGCACTTGTCTGTTTTTGCAAATGAACGATTCATTTGTATGTTTGACAAAAACATTGACATTTTGATCATATCTCAGAGGGGAGTTGCTACAATAGGCTGTGTGCCTTGTAATACTTGCACCCAGCGTGAGAGTATACGCGAATATCCTGAGGAGAAAGAAGGGGGGGAGAGAAGAAAACGCACGCGTCTAGTCTCCAGATGTTGCAGCCCGCGCACATGAGCCCGCGCACATGAGTCCGTGCCCTGTGAGCACTTCTCCACATCCTGCTGCTCGCTCTTCTGGCTGAGTATACGTCTCGCGAGAGCAGCAGAGTCCGGGCTTGACGAGATGTGAAGCGCTCAGGTGTAAGAGGCTCTCTCATCCCCAGCAGTGGGAAACAGTAGACAGATAAGTGCGTGTGAGAGACTGCAGGCATCTCTGTGATCTCCGGGCTCAAGGCTGCTCCCGCGAACTCTACTCTGCATCATTAACTGGATAGGCAAAGGGGATCTCTGTATCTATGTCTAGTTTTCCAGCTCTTGGAGACGATTCCCCCCTTTTTTCCTGTGCACTTTAATTGGAGACGCTCGCCAAGATGATGTCCATGAACAGCAAACAGGCGCACTTCGCCATGCACCCTTCTCTACCCGAACACAAGTACACCACCCTGCACTCCAGCTCTGAAGCTATCCGGAGAGCCTGTCTGCAGACTCCACAGGTAAATTACGTCTCTTCAAAACTTATTTTTTTGTGTCTCCGTGCCTCCCGCATGTAGCGTGCTCCGTGCGTAATAACAAGCTCCGAGGCACATCCAGCCAAGACGCACTCTTAATGTATATTTCATGTGTTCCGCTGCAGTCACTCGGAAGTCTCTGATCTTTTTGAAAGCACAGAGAGCGTTCTGCAAGACACTAATATAGAATCCGATTGTTTTGGTGTTTTCAAATCGACTGGCCAAAATTATGCATTAAAACAGAGACGCCGCTGTTAAAGTTGGCGTTTTGTTTTTTGGCACTATTCAAATAATCGCAGTTCAGTCTGATTTATGACCAATTCTGTAAAAATGTAGATATATCAGAAGTTTGAAATTTTCCACAGTGTTTATTCCTTGGCATTTATCAAAGTCATAAAGTCATAGCTTTGTTTTTCATTCAGATTGTATTCATGTAGGTTTTAATGCATCATTTCAGCCGAGTCGATTTGAAAACACCAAAACAATCGAATACGAAATTAGTGTCTTGCAGAGCGCTCTCAACATTTCCATAATTAGGATCGTTGTAATCGGTTAGCTAACTAAATTATCGTACTCAATTTCAGTGAATAAAACTCGTTTGTTGTTGTTGCTTTTTAATAAACGATTCATGATCCAACTTTGAAGCATTAATCTTACTTCCCCGTGTCTTGGTGTCTGCAGCTGCAGAGTAACATCTTTGCGAGTTTGGATGAGACGCTCCTCGCGCGCGCAGAGGCGCTGGCGGCCGTGGACATCGCCGTGTCTCAGGCCAAGACTCACCCCTTCAAACCGGATGCCACGTACCACACGATGAGCACGGTGCCCTGCTCTTCTGGCTCCACCGTCCCGCTTGCACACCACCATCACCACCATCACCATCACCATGGCAACATGGAGCCCCCGGACATCATGGACCACATAAACTCCCAGTCGCTATCGCTCATGACCGGCGGAGCGCACGATGGCACGGGTGGTGGAGGAGGCGGTGGTGGAGGAGGTGGGGGCCTCATCTCCAGCTCCTCGGGACACCACCACTCTCATATGCACGGCCTGGGACACCTGTCTCACCAGGCCGCCATGAGCATGAACTCGCCTCTTACGCACCATGGCCTTATACCGGGCCATCACGGGGGCGGCCAGGTCCCCAACAACGGGCTGCCCTCCATCAATGACTCAGACACGGACCCACGGGAGCTGGAGGCCTTCGCCGAGCGCTTCAAACAGCGGAGGATCAAACTAGGGGTGACACAAGCGGACGTGGGCGGCGCTCTGGCGAATCTCAAAATTCCAGGCGTAGGGTCACTGAGTCAAAGTACAATTTGTAGATTTGAGTCTTTGACACTGTCGCACAACAATATGATCGCGCTCAAGCCCATCCTGCAGGCCTGGCTGGAGGAGGCCGAGGGGGCCCAGCGGGAGAAACTGAGCAAACCTGACATTTTCAACGGAGGCGAAAAGAAACGGAAGAGGACGTCCATAGCTGCGCCTGAAAAGAGATCTTTAGAGGCGTACTTTGCCGTCCAGCCTCGGCCTTCGTCGGAGAAAATTGCTGCTATTGCAGAAAAGTTGGACTTGAAAAAAAATGTGGTGCGAGTGTGGTTTTGTAACCAAAGACAGAAGCAGAAGAGGTTGAAATTCTCTGCTACTCACTGATGGTGAAGAAAACGAACTCACAAAAAGACTTTTGGACCAATAGACACATACAGACACCACGTTCAGGCTGTTGTCTCCAGCGCCTTTTCCCGCTGGTGCTCAATGGGCTTTAGTCCCCACTTCTGAGGCGTCATGTATTATTTTCACGTTGTCGGTGAATGTGAAGTATGCAAATAACAGACACACATTTTGCTCAGTTTTTCGAGGGAAAGTTTAGTCGACATTGCCTTTAAAAAAAACACATGAACGAAGGTGATTTGCTTTTTTACAATAGCGAGTTCTTTCTATCGGCCTATGATTTGAATTATAGCCATTTAAGAATTACCTCATTGATTATTAACCTGCGTTTTGGTTTGATTATGTCAATGTTGGTAAATCACCAGTCTGTTCATTAATTCATTTTATTTATTATTTGAAAGCTGCTAATTCAGTTTCTTATTTAATGGCTTCAAATAATTAGGCCTGCATGAATACCAGAAACTGTCAATAAGCTGTCACATAGATATTTATATTTATTTAAAAATTGCACAAAGACCCGTTAGGTTAATAGATTGGTTAAATGTTTTGTATATAAAACATCACTTTATAAACCAGGACGGTGCTCCTGTGGTTTGGGTAAATTAGGTCTATTTCTCACTATTTGGCTTCACACAAAGTTCAACAGATCGAGAGCAAACACTATGCATTGGTTCAGTCACTGCACCGTAGAAAGCTCTAATGTAGGCCTGATGTTGTGGGTGATACGTCACTGTTTAATGCCTGTTTTCACATGAGACACCACGTTGTTTGTCGTGTTATTGTTACAGATTGTGTAAGTATTTTACTTTTGTGCACACACAAGTGTTTACAACCTGCGACTTGTGCATCATGAAAATGTCTGTCTCGTTCCCTCACTTCTGCCCACGCTCCGTTGTCCTCTCATTGGTACTATTCATTCTGTAAGCCAAATTTAACAGGGAGGAGTGTTCCAGCAATCTTCTAATAAACTCAAGAAAAACACACACACTTTTGCTTTTGTGAATCGCTTCAGCAGATGATGCGTGACAAGATGCTGTGCGCTTAACCATTTGGTCTAAATACATTTTCATTTTTCTTTTTCTTTTTTTTATACAAACAAAAAGGAAAATTTTGTGACGACAAATACGTGAATAGGATCATATTTATAACATTATGCCCATAACAACATGATGATGGAATATATTATAAAAATGCTGCACCTGCGATATATGAAAACAGCAATAATATATTTGTTTTTCTTGTGAATATTATTATCATCATCATCACCAATATTCATTAGTAATAACGTAAGGGTAATAATAATGATAGAGATAATAATATTAATAATAAACTGCTTTATATCTATACGACTTTGATGATAATAATGATGTATTTGTTACAAATTTAATAAATTATTAAATACAATGTTAATGCAATGTAAAAGTACAAAGTAAAATCAGCTGCTTTACACTCCTACAAATGGTAGGACTAATACAAACAAGTATTTCTTTACTTCTATTAAAAATATATTGATGAAGCCACCATGTGACCCTTCAATGTTCCTACTGTATCCACTGTGTGTGGCGCAGTGGTAGGCCTAATGCAATAATAATCCGCTCGCCTTGTTTACATGGGAATTGTTCATTGATAATTGATGTCCTCGGAATTGACGAACAAAAATACACGGGCCTAAATTTTCACAATTTCAGATTTTGTTTCGACTAATTTTGCAATAGATCTTGCGAAAATCCACCCTTTTATTTTATGTAAAATATAGTATCTGAGCACTGCAGTATTTGCTACAACACAAAACTGCTGCTCCTTCTAGTCCCGGACAGAAGACTAATGCATTATTGAAAGCCTATATCAAACAGCTCTGGGGTGCTGTCTCTCTGCACAGGGCCGGGATGAAGTCGGACTGTCTGCCTGCACAATAGCCTCTAATATGTTAATGGCCGTAGGGGACGCCCGAGGTGCCGTCCCCAGCTGCCGCGCCTACCATATGTCAGCCCGTTACGACACAGGCTTCTATTAATCAGCCACTATTTCATCAGCGATGACTTGTGCGCCACCAAGCTCCGCGCAACAGCGTCACACCCGGCTGAGGCGGAGGTGGGGACACGGGCCTGAGAGCCGGGCCTTCTGCGCCATGAGGGGAGATCACTGCAAAGTCCCATATCCGAGAAGTGTATACAATAATACACACGCCAATCTAAAGTACTACCATAATGATGCCTTCAATGTTACATACTGTGCACTTAGAACATATCTCAAGATGTTTTTCTATCTCCATGAATCTGAAGTTAACCCTACATTTGTCTTTACATTTCAAATGTTAGAGCTTCTTCAGCCTCAGAAGGAATGTAGTCAAGATGGATACAAATTAATAATTGATTAAACATTCATGTCTGTTAGAACTGCAGAGATCGGTTATATGTTTCTTCAGAGGAGCAGAAATCAAACCCTGTGATTTTAACATCAACAAATCAAAGTTGGTTGAATTCTTCTCCATTTGAAAACAAGTTACATCCATGGTTTTTATTTGATTAGAGTTCTGTTTTTTGCCTCTTATTCAGTCGCAATGGATCCATTACAGTAGAGAGCTTTCAGTGGAGCAGAGTGGAGCCTACAGGAGCTCATATCTGAAGTCCTTCAGGCCACTGCTGGGGAGTAATTAATCTCTAGTGTCGATGTAAATAAAGGGAAATTGGATTCCTGACAGACGAGATGAGAGAGTGGGTGACACTACGCCTCCGAAATAATGATGTGAGCGCATGTTATGGAAACGCAGCACTTAGATTTACGAGCGGGCGACTTTTTAGTGTAGCTCAGAGCGAAGGGGAGTGGGCCCATGATCCAGCTCTAATCGCAGCTGTTAGGCACCAGGTTAAGATGGATGATACCATTATAATTACAATGCTACAGGCTCATATAAAACATAAGTGATAACGCAGGTTCTGAACTTATTTAAGTTTTTGTCCTTGTGGTCCTGTTTGTTTCATGCAGGGTCTTTAAACAAAATAAGAGCTCCCACTGAGGGCGGTGCTGATCCAACCACACAGAAGGCTGGCCTTTCGGACGGAAATGTCAAAGCTGAGCGGCGGAGGGTAGATCCCCCAGATCTGCACTCATTTCCCACTCATATTTGCTCAGTAATCCTCTGTGGCAGCCCTCCTCCGCCCGGGACGCGCATAGAGAGGCAAGGCTGTTGACACAGGGGTATATTTCAATCACAGAGGGTTCAGAGTCAGACGAACAACTTATTTGTCTAATAAATCCGTCATTTAGTAAGAAAAATATTTGATCTTGAGGGGCTGACCTCTTGTCATGTAGCCAGTGATGGATAAATGGGATAAATGCTGTGGATATGCAGGCAGGCTGAATAGCAAAAACTGTAATTTAGATTTCTATTTGTATGGCACACCCCAACAAACACATCTTCCATTTTCATATATGACCTTCTGACCGAGAAAAGGGGAAAGGCATATATTAACGTTGTAGATGTTTTATGAGTAATATATACCGACACAAGACTTCAAAACACAACACCAAATTCAAATATCTCTTGTGTCACATCTTCTCCAATTGTTTTAAAACCCTAATTAAAAATCTTTATACCCAAAATACAATCAACCATTATCTCTCCCGACACAGCACTAACATGTCCACTCGTCTTGCAGTGAGACTTTCCCTAATTAGGAGATAAATTATCAAAAGTTGTCCAAGTCACAGTTATTCCACTTACGCTGTAATTAAGATATAATATTAAAATAGCTCCTACTTACTTCAAGCACTGTTATGATTTATCAATTATCCTTCTTTTATGATTTTGCAATGTTATCTGGCTGTTTACATCCCATTAGCTCACTTTTTTTTTGCTTGAAGAACCATTAAAACACAAGATAAAATCAAAGTTTTGTTGAATCACACTTTTTCCCACTATAATTGTGACATTCTTTAACTGTGATCCTCCACGTTTTTGTATTCCCAGGTTCCATGGCTGAGTTTCTTTGGCTTGAATCCTGAAGAAACAAAAACTCATCTGTCATAAGTTAACCCCGATTTATGAAGCCCTCTTAGCTTGACACCATTTTGATGAAGTGTAGTTCTAAAACATCAAAACACTTGTCACCGTCCGAACAGAGCAGTTGGAGATCTGTAACTTCAGCCGAGAAAATACCTATCGCCACCTAAATGTCACTCTATGCAAAATGTGCTCCACTACCTAAATGTCATTTATTTCCCAATTTGCCGCTGTAGCCTCTGGCAGAGTGCTCCTTGAACCCTGCATCGAACCCATCTCCCCATCGTCATCACTCTTACAGGCTGCAGACAGATACAAAGCAGCAACAAGGACAGACAAGCACAGTTATACATCCTCTAAAAAGTTATCCATTGTGTCATGAGTGATTTGTGTTTTTTATCTGAACACAAGATACATTTTAAAAAGACATTTACTATACTTCTGCTGTGTGTAACTGTCCATGGTTCTGAATGACCAGCTGTAAGTATTTCTGTACACTTTCTTTTAAAATCACAAGTTACACTGAACAAAAATCTCTATCTACGGAATTTATAATATTAAGAGATTCCATTAATTAGTAATCAGTGAGCGGCCCTTCTGGGCGGCAACGGTTAGCACTTGTGCTTCACAGCGAGAAGGTTGTGGGCTTGATTCCACCTCTAGATAGGGCATTTCTTCTCATTTTGTTGAGTTTGCATGTTCTCCCTGTGTCTGTGTACGTTTGCGCTGAGTTCTCTGGTTTCCCCTACCACTAAAAAACAATGTGCAATAGATCCAGCATTTGCCTCTTTATTTGGTGACCGTAGTCTCATCACTGTGGAGTGATTGAGAAGATGCCCTCAACAATTATCAAACACTTTGTAACTGTCTTTGCAAGATTCAAAAGAAGTAAAGAATACTTACTGACTTATGTTGAAAATCCCATACACACAAGCAAAACTCGGAATATTAGAATACTGTTCAAAAGTCAAATTAATTT